TGAGTATTGAAAAATTCAATTGCAAAAAATAAAATAAATAAATAAATAAAAAATATTGTTTTTCATGATGTAAACAAAACATTTTAATTACCTTTACATATATCACCCTTTTAAAATATAACTATAACAAATATAACTGTTAAGAGATGTGTAAGGTCCAGCCAGTTGGTCCAATGACGGTATCCAATGGTGGATGAAGGTTCACTGCATGTTCGGTCTTTACAGTGCACAATGTTGATTTATATTAAACTTAACTCATATCTGACTCCAATTTTAGTATGAGGTGGTTTAGAATATTACTATATTTATCCTCGTTTTATCTGACTCCAATTATAAAACATTGAGAAGATTATTTTGTTTCCTTTCACATTATTTTAGATTATGATTGAATATTCTTTTGATTTGTTATTATACCTTATTCTCATTTACTCAGATTCCGATAGCATCTCGAGTCTTGCACCGGCCGGGTATACAATCTCTTAATACAAGCTTGTCAGTCTTGGTCATTAAACAGAGGCGATTAACCACTCTCCTAAACAGGCAGAACCCTACTTACTCAATTTAGGAGATTTTTATGTGGTCCCCATAGATCTGTTATCTACTTAATCAAGACAAAGTATTTTAATAATAATCGCACAGGATTATAAATTTGTAGATGAAGGCCTAAATATCCACATTTAAAGTAGTTTCAACAATATTTTGTTGTTCTAAATAGAAAACCCATAGTTGGCCTTTTGTAGTCTACGTATACATGAAATAATGCCAATTTGCTAGTCGGATCTTCAATTCAATTCAATTCAATTCAGCTTTATTTGTATAGCGCTTTTACAATGTAGATTGTGTCAAAGCAGCTTCACATAAATGGTCATAGTAACTGGAACAGTGTGGTTCAGGTTTTAGTGTTTAAGTTCAGTTCAGTTCAGTTTAGCTCAGTTCAGTGTGATTTAATCATTACTGAGAGTTCAAACACTGAAGAGCAAATTCATCGATGCGTAGCTCTACCAATCCTGAACCATGCGAGGCAGTGGCGACAGCGGAGAGGGAAAAAAAACTTCACCTGATGGGAGTGAAGAAAAAAAACCTTGAGAGAACCAGACTCAGTTGGGCACGATCTCTAACAACATTGGGATCTCTAACAACATTGTTTAGCGTGCCACGCTGCTCCGTCTAACATGTTTTAGTCCGTTGCTAACCTGTACAGTGGCTTGTAGTGCTATGGACAACAACATTTATCAGTGATAATAACACGAGGTTTGAATAATTCGAAACATAACAATTTATTAGTCAGGTAAATGTATTATGCCAATTCAATCAGTCAATTCATAAATGATCAATACAAAACATCAAATTATCAAAGATAAATCCAAGATGAAAAAGATGCATTCCTGACTTTGTAATATACATAACATGGTGCAAGCCATGTTATGGGCTGATCTGGTTAGGCAGAATCGCCCTGAGTCTTTCTTAGGCCTTACCTTAAATAATCCAAGAATTCCCTCAAGGAAGGGGGTGTGAATAACAAAAAAGGCATTCACACTTAGTGTCACACCCCTCACAGTGGTTCAAAAGATGCCTGAAGTTATATATTTATTGTTCTGATTATGTCTATTTCTGAGAGAATGAGACCATTGTACCAATCGCACTGAGACATTTCAAATGATATCAAACATGATGGTTAAAGTCAGTTTGGTTAATTCTAGAACATTCAAACATTGAAATGACCATATGTGTGAGTTGGGGGGATGAAGCTGAGTTTTAGCATAGTCAGATGCAAATGCAGCAGGAACTGGTTTTTCACGCATTCCCCCCTGGTGGGTTGTGGAGTCTATTGGCCCTGTCTTCAGCTCATGTTTTGAATTGTCAAAGACATCAAAAATATTTGTAATATTTCAATTCTTACAGATGGTTGCAATTTTCACAATAGATATACAGAGAGATATAGTATTTATACTATTATGTATACTATTTTTTAACTGATTATCTGCATTAAATAGTTTTTACAGTGATTAAAGAGATCATCTTCAAGACAGGACTTTCTACAGTATATGAAATTTGTACTTCCTCTTGTAAAGGTGAATGAGGTGCAGAGAAGCTGAATTAAACTTGCTCAGAGAATTGCTGTTGTTATCAGTCATTGTTTATTTCACTAAATCAGTTTAATGGTGAAGGGATTGATCCAATAAGCCTATTGATGGAAGGTTTGCAAAGAAATGTCATGCTCTCTTGTAAAAATATTTTGTAGTATTTTTAAAATGCAGTATTTTAATTTGATACATTTTGTTGCTGCTGTTTTTGTAGTCTATTTTGATGCACTTAACATGAAGGTATTATGTGCTGTTGCTAGGAGGTTGCTTTTGCTAGACGGTCACTTGAATATTGCTATTTGTGTGCTATGGTATTCTTGGTAATTGCTATTGTTTTGCTATGTTGTTGAAAGGATGCTATGCCTTGTTATACTGTCTTCCTCATAATCGCTAGGGTGTTGTTGGTCAAGTTGCTAGGTAAAATGCTAATGTGTTGCTATGCAGTTGCTAGCATGTATTATCATATTGCTAAGACAGACAGACAGACAGACAGACAGACAGACAGAAAGAAAGAAAGTGTAAAACATTTTAAACTGTGTTTAAACAGATTGTATTTAATGTCACCCTCTTCTATTTAATTTGTATAAGCTTAACAAATAATGAACAAATCATCTGTAAAGTGATCACAAGACCAGTAGGAAGTTGCACATTATTCCTTACTTTACAGGCTTCCTATCAGTTTTAAAGATAATTTTAAGGATTTGGTAATTACAGAGTTCTGCATGGTCAGGCTCCTCTTTATATTCTTCTTTTACATATACACTACAGCCGTTGTTCTCTCAAGTTGTCCTGCCAAGAACTAAGGCTAAAGACTAAAGGTGACAGTGCCTTCAGGGTTGCGGCTCGGGAACTCTCTCACTCTAGCATTAAGAACTCTGGGCTCAGTTTAATGAAAATGTAAATACAACTTGGATAAGCTTTTAATTAACAGTATAGTGAGCTGGTTTTATATTTGGTGTTAATTGTACTTAGATTTTAACCTGTTTTGATATACCTTTTCGTTTACTGTAAAGCACTTTGTGACTTCTTGTCTGTAAAAGGTGATATACAAATACCTAATAGATTAGATTAGATTAGATTAGATTAGATTAGATTAGATTAGATTCAACATTATTGTCATTACACATGTATAAGTAAAAGGCAACGAAATGCAGTTTAGGTCTAACCAGGGGGTTTCATAAAAGTTGTTTAGAAAATCGGGGATTAAAGTCGAAAACCTGACTTCAGTGAGCCGAACTAAACTTGCACTCTTAAATTGGTTCCATAACAGCAAGTTGAAGATCATTTAATCGAACTAATTTGAGTTTAGTTTAAACAATCTAGATAACTGCTCCTGCATGTTACTGTCGTAAAACCTTAAGGGTCGAGCATAGATGCATTGATTATGTTGTGCGCTACCATGGACTTCGAGAACTGAAAGAGCTCTGAAAAGAGACAGCTGTTTACATTGAGTGAGTTGCGTTGGTTTTTGAGTTCAAACATAATAATTTAACATAATAGTTAAAAACTACAGTGCAGCTTGCAACAAAGCGAAGAGATTAGGCTGACAGGAAATTTAACATTTTAATAAATATTCCATAATTTAGGCCTATTAACGTTAAATTAAATATTCGTCACAATACAGTGAAATTGTTCTTGCGCGGGTGAGAGAGAATATGCGCTTACTGCCAATTGTTGCTTGCAAGGAAAAGTTTTAATGCATTGCAAACTCACCGTAACATAATAAATGTGCTTAATGTCAGCACATTACGTTTCAAATATGCATGCACTAGCAGCAGGATTTTTAATTTGCTCCTGAAACCGCTGCAAATTGCTGCTTTCCACTTGTGTTTCCTTTGGGAAAATATCTTTATATTAAAATGAGATTACTGCTCGGCTTTGATCATCTCCTGATTATTCCACTCAGGGTTCACAGCTTTAAAGTCATTCTTTAAGAAATGTAGCGTACTTCAATCAGTGCTTTCCTAATATTATTTTCTTTATAAATTTTTTGTCATTCATATATATATATATATATATATATATATATATATATATATATATATATATATATATATGAATATACCATATCAACCATATCAATATTGATTCATATCAATATATGATATATATCAAATTAGCACACCCAATTTAATATGTTGGAAGAAATATTAAATAAAATTTTAATAAACAGGAAAAAAAAATCCACAGATACATTAAAAAAAATTAGTTGAAATGTTGTGGTTTGTATTTGCAATAACTTATATATTTGTATTATCATTCTATTCGTAAAGATGTTTGGTGTATATATTTACTATTAAGTGACTATAAAGTTTTAATCATAATTAAGAAGTTAAGTGAACTAAAATGGAATCAAGTTACAGCAGGTGAATGTTAACATTACCTTGATTAAGCTTGAACTTAAGACTTAGCCTGAGAGTTAACCTACCCCAGACCAGGCTAGTTTCCCAGCATAAGTTGCCATTGTATAATTTGATTTATGAAATCAAATCCGCCATTAATAAATCTGACTTACCAAAATAAGCCTGGCTTTTTCTCTAATCTTGGTTTATGGAACAGCCCCCAGGAGTGCAATAGCAGCAAATGCAGGATATAGGTATATGTTATAAAGTGCAATTATAGAAAAACTTTGGTCATATTTACAGATGGATGTACCATGAACATTGTTTTATTAACTATTAACAGATATTGTAAGATTATTGATAGATCATTGTAATATATAAAATAGATGAATATATGTACAGGTTGCTATTAATAATCAAATGTATGCAGATAGATAATTACTTGTGATCAGATTGACAAAAAAATCAGTAAAAACTATGTGTATTTATTGTATTCATCATATGCAACATAAAGGATGTGTTTATGTCTCAATCAAACCTTCATCTGATGTTCTGCCTCTCTCTTGCTGCACAGGAACACTTCACACCAGAGTGCAAGTTTAAGGAGTCTGTATTTGAGAACTACTACGTGACGTACTCCTCCATGATCTACAGACAGCAGCAGTCGGGCAGGGGCTGGTACCTGGGCCTGAATAAAGAAGGAGAGATCATGAAGGGCAACCATGTGAAGAAGAACAAGCCTGCTGCACACTTCCTCCCCAAGCCTTTGAAAGGTGAGTTAACACCTCAATACAGTCACTCTTATTACTGTTCACACTAGGTGCTCTTGATGTTTGGAAGCAAGAATAAAATATTGTAAATATTAGTTTTATTATTTCCTGTTGTTATATAATAATAACAACAACATTAATGACACATGAACTGCAGTTACAATTACTCGAAATCGAAATCTTAATTATTGTTATGAAATAACTCACAGATCAATTGTACTATCATGATATTTTATAGATTTGTTCAAATGTTATAATAATAGAACTATTATACATTGTATTATTATTAAATATAGTTCAGGTTTATTGATGTGATTTTCCTTTGTTTGCATATTTTAAATATAATCAAAAATAATAATAAATAATAATACACTAGTTTTTCACAACTTTTTTTGTATTTTTTTTGCGATATAAATATATATATATATATATATATATATATATATATATATATATATATCCCTGATCTTACTTACTCTTTCTCAGATTTCATACCCAGAGCATCTGACATCATGTCACTCACTTAGGACATGCGTTAGGGCAGGGCTGCTCAACCCTGTTCCTGGAGATCTACCTTTTTGCAAAGTTCAGCTCCAACCTTGATCAAACACATCTAAACTAATTAAATAGGACCTGAACAGGTTGATCTTTAGGTACAGGGTTGATCACCCCTGCGTTAGGGCTTCCCCTACCATAATACATAAACACTGATTGCCGTAAAACTCATCAACTGAAAGGAATCATTTTCCTCCATTAACAGCAAAGAAAGAGTTAAACGAAATCATTTATCGATTTGATGCACATATAATAGCCTACCAGCCATACTGTACATGTAAAGCAAAAATAATGTTCTTCAATTGGGTCACGTTCAGCGGCAGTCATCCTTGAACCAATCTCAATCATTGTAAGCTGCTTGCCTTCTGTCTATTCCCTTACTTCGTTTGTTAGATGTTTGCTCAAAAACTAGAATGCCTAAATAATATTAGCAAAAATTTCCTGCCCATTTCTTTAATGAAATAATCCACATATTGTTTCATACTTCATTTGTGCATTTTGTTCAAGTAACTGGGTGTTTTCTTCAAATCTTATCACTGGATTGAATGGGCATTATCAGTGATTATCAACTGATAGAAATGGGCCAGTAGGGGTCTTCTGCACCTACTAATAGGCTTAAAAGGCTGTTATTATCCATTCACATGGTTAATTATCTATACTAATAGAGAAGAGTCCAGATCCAATCTGTTTTTTTACATTACCGTGACGGTTGGGTTTAGGGTTGGGGTAAGGTTAGACGTTAATAAAATACAATTAATGAGGAATTTAATAAATTATATAAATAATTCTCGTTAACTTCTGGCCCCAGCTGTACGTGATCTATAGTTGATTAACCATGTAGATGGATGATAACAGCCTGTACTGGGCTAGATAATGGCCCCTACAGGCCTATATCTATCAGTTGATAACCACTGATAATGCCCATTGAATTGAGTAATAACATTTAAATCGGCTGAATTATGGCACTTTTTAGGCAATAAAAACACTATCCGCTATAAATAGGAGTTAAAATTGCTCTTTTAAAAGCTTCAAGTAATCACAAATGACTGTAAAACCCAATTTATGGGAAACCTTGATAACTCATCTACTGGACAGCAAATTAACCAAAAGTCATCCTGTATTTATGCGTTATATCTTCTTTCATAGTCAAAATGAAATTTGACTACGTCCTCCTTTTTCCTCTTGAATGCTTCGGAGCTTTGAATGCAGGGTCTGCACTTTCACTGTCTCTCCAGCTGTGTTTAGTCTCTCCGGCTGTGGACGATGGAGGTTGTCTGGAGCATTTCACACACAAGCACAATCAGAGCGTTTACAGCAGAGTCTGTGGATGATAAAGCAGCTTTTGACAGCAAACAGAGCTGCACGACTCTATCCAGGCCACTGCAGGCACCTCAGAAAACCACACAGCACGGCTTTGTTCAACTCTGAAAGTTCCTTGTGACTTTCATCTGCCGGTTGCGCACTTTCACTGTCAGTGAACACAGAGACACTGCACTCTATAAGCACAATTCACAATTCTCTGGAAATGTGTTGTTGTTGCTTTAGAAAGAAATGGAAGGGTCTTGTGATGAAATATGAAAGTTTACATTTTTACATTAAAGGGGACCTAATATGCCCCTTTTTACAAGATTTAAAATAAGTCTCTGATGTCGCTTAAGTGTGGGTGTGAGGTTTCAGCTCAAAATACCAAACAAATAATGTTTTATTATTCTTCAAAACTGCCTCTTTTAGGCTTAGATCCAAATTGTGCCATTTTAATGTCTGTCGCTTTAAATTCAAATGACAAAGAGCTCCATGCTCTCTTTTTAAAAAAAGGCGGACAAACAAATGCCTTGTGTCAGCATAGTGGCAGATTCAAAACAGGACTGACATTAATTCTGTGAAGCTGTCAAAAAAGTAGTCTATAAAGACTACGACGTTCATTTTTTGCTTTCTACAACTCAACATTCGTAATGTCTCTTAGTCGCTGGCATATTATCTTCGGCATGCTGTGTTCACACCAGATGTGGAAAGCATGAATAAATTGGGTTGTTCGCTCATTAATAGACGCGTGAACATTTTGAGATTACTCGTTTCATTCTCAGGTGTAATTTGCTTAATTCGTACGTCAAATTCACTTCACAATAGACGTGGATTTGCATCATGGGCGGGGCTTTTTTCTGCTCGTTGACTCTAGTTTTGTTGTTAAATGGCTAACTTGGCTAACTATTGAGAGAGTAGCTGTGCTTTAAATGCTTTAGCACCGTAGATTTGTTCAGCCCCATGTCTGAGTCCACTAGATCTTTTCTGTCAACCCTGAAACTATACATGGATAATGGAGGCTTTCAGTGGTGCTTCTGACTGAGCAGAGCTCAGTTTGATAAACTGTTGCCCAGTTTGTTGAACTGAAGACTAATAAGGAAACTTGAGGCTTTACTTGAAAAATAGATTACAAAGTACAACAAAAATGACTGAAGCCAAGCTTCCAGTGAACTGGCAAAACAAAACAGACACAAGACACAAAAAGCACAACAATAAAGTGTTACTTAGCTCCTCGAGAGAATCAGGAGAACATCGAGCAATCATGGCTCAAGACTGAACGCACTAGCTTGTTACACACAAACTTATATAGGCCAAACACAGGTGTTGCTAATCTAGCTTGAGTAGTGGCACACAGCAGATGACGGGACAGTGGTGCTGTTCTGGAGGATGCGTAGAAATTAGACACTAGTGTGTGAAAATTGAGGAGCACCACCATCTGGTTAGGAGGAAAAATGCAGCTTAAAAATAAATTCTTACAACACCAACAACAGGCACTACATCATAACCACTCCCCTACAAGAGCAAGCTCCTGATTGGTTAACGCAGCGCGAATGTCTGCTGAAGTCAGTCAAACGCACAAAGTACTCAACTCATGCTGCTTCATTCCCGCGAATCGCGTCATTCACACAAAACATGTCGCAGGATGTCTATTTGTGTCTTTGCATTGACTTAACATGTAAATCACTCACGCTTGACGCCTTATCCACGTCTGGTGTGAACGCAACATAATGGTGGACGACTGCTTCTCACTCCTGCTTATGAAGGAGAGGTGATGTTTAAATCTCTTATTAAAGTAATTTTTACTTAATAGGTCCCCTTAAAGAACATCCAGATGTTGGATTCAAGTGGTGTATGTCTCATATACTTAAATACCTTAAACTTAATAGCTACTTCTAAAGCATTTATTAATCTTATGGGATGTTAATTTCATAATGTTTATTGACTCATTGAAATCAAATGTCAAAACATTTTATTAGATGATGTCTTTAATAAACTAAACTAATAACATTAATAAATTTCAGTTGTATTTGTTTTTGAAACTAACATTAATAACAGTTTTTCTAAAAATGTTGCAATTTCTATGCTGTGAATTTGCTTACTCTAAGTAATACACAAAAAATTAGTGTTTTTATTACTGTATACCTGTTAAAGTAACACTTTTTTTTGCAGTTATCGCAACAACAAAGTCTGATACTGTTATATGCTTATTTCAGATGTGTTCATGTGACATTTAAAGTTGTTTAGAGGAAACTCATAACCATAATTTATCTCTTAATGAAGATGAGCTGTTCTGTAACCTCTAAAGCACTGTGCATTTGTATAAAGCATCACATTCATAATTTGACTCATGCTATAGAAATGAGTTTTTGAACTAAATGGCTGATATTTTCACACAATTCAGCTTCTTACAGGAATCAATAATGCTTTTTGGTGCTTACAGAATTGAAACAAGGTCTTTGATTAGATTATAATTAAAAAACGGAGGCTTAGGAGTTGAGAAACGTTTTGCTCTCCGAGGAAATGTCTCAGCCCTTGAAAATGCTTTTGCTTTTTCTAAAGTGGCTTGTCGTGTGGCGAGCGGATAATGGTGAAGGCTGGTAATGTAAGAGACAGCAGGAGATATGCATTAGCTCTGACTGACAGGCTGACGCTGCTTTACACTGCATTCATTCAGTGTTTCACTAGGCGCATTTCAGAGGCCAGCGCACAGCCACAGATTTAGGCTTGAAAAAAATAACTATACAAAAAAGCCTTATTCAGGATACATTCTCTTAAAAAACAACTGTCTTGAGGTCCACTTGAACTGGAAGTTGCTGCGGATTTTTATTCCAGCAAGATTATTTTTTATTAGAATATTGAGTAGGGGTTGTGGCTAAGCATATTTCACCCAACCGTCAAACAGATAGACAGATTTTTAGGGAATTAATTTAGTTAAACATAAATCAAAGAATGCAAAGTTAGCATTGTACATTTTCTAAACTGTTTTCTTTCTGAATTATTGATGGATATATTGATAGATTTATTGGAAAAGATGCTTTGCTTAAATTTAGCCTTTTTTTCATCTGTTCAGATGCTTGATAATGTTTGTAAGACTTTAATGTGTGGTTCTATATATTAATGTTAGTAAATTCAATAATTTAAGGTGCAATATTTAAAAATAAGTAGAAATAAAAATTAACAATATTTTACAGAATTGGTTAGTCATGTTAGATGTTAAATTATTCATAGACTACTATTTAAAACATAGGATTTATTCCAAGGCTGTATATATTTGATAAAAATGCAGTAGTAATAAACTGTAGTATTGTGAATGGATTTTTAAATGGTAATTTCTGTGATGGCAGAGATGATTTTTGTGAAATTCTTCTAGTTTGCTGATTTTGTGTTGAGGTTATTATCAGAGTTTATCTGCATTTATTTTTAAATACCAATTTTAACAGCATTTTTGCATTTTTTTTTATTGCTCCATTTTGTTTGTAAAGTTAATTTTGATCCATTTTAATCATCCCACTGAATAAAAATATATATTCCATAAAAATATATACTGAAAACAAACCCTTGGCAGTGTATAAAAATATTATATATATGAAGTCAGAATTATAAGCCCCCCTTTAATTTTTTTATTATTTTTTTTTCCGATAGTCTACAGAACAAGCCATGATTATCCAATAACTTGCCTAATTACCCTAAACTGCCTAGTTAACCTACTTTACCTTGTTAAGCCTTTAAGTGTTACTTTAAGCTGCATAGAAGTGTCTTGAAAAATATCTAGTCAAATATTATTAACTGTCATCATGGCAAAGATAAAGTAAATCAGTTATTAGAAATAAGTTATTAAAACTATTATGTTTAGAAATGTGTTGAAGAAATCTTCTCTCTGTTAAACAGAAATTGGGGAAAAAATAAACAAGGGGGCTGATAATTCTGACTTAGTGTATATATCAGCTGACGGTCAAAACCGCAGAAAGCGTTGGTGCTTCACCAACGTCACTTTAGAGCTAGTATTTGAATGATTCTCTAGTGTAATATCTAAAGTCAGTATCAGGTTAAAATGCCATCAGTCTACAGAGGTTTTCCAGTATTTCCCTGTTGCAATCAGGAGATCACAATAATTGGCAAAGCAAAGCAAACACTAGCTGATTACTATAATATAAATATAGCACTATTATTTGATCAGCTGTAGTTTGAAATACAAATTTCTCTCCTGAAGACTTATGCAGTCTCTGTTATTGCAGAATATCGGAGATTCAGATTACAGATTCCGAGAACCAGACAGAACTGTTGTATAAGTAATAATCAAAAGTACATAAAAAATTACCTTGATGTTCATTGTTAACCTTATGTATTAAATAATGCTAACAAACCAAATCGTTAGAAAGTGCGATGCCTGTAAAGAAGCACTATTTGTGTCGGTCATGATCTCAGTTGTTGTTAAGGAGGGTTATGTAATTTGAAGAGAAAGAGGGAATTGTAATTTTGCTCACAGCCTTATAAAAATTCTCCAGCAGTCTCAGCCAGAGGAGCAATTAAAGAACTGTCTGCTCACTGTGAACATGACTTCAGCTGCCAGCCCTGCATTTACAAACTACAGTAGCTTCAGTCTAGAGTTCAGATATAGACACACACAAAATCAGCCTATAAGATCATTACCATCTTCAAAACAAGCAGGCAGCCCTCAGCTTCAGCTTGGCGCCTTGTTTACTGTATGTTCATTTAATTAGAAGAGATGTTTTAAACATTTAAAGGGAGACACTGCAGGTGATTAATGACAAACAATTTAATAGTCAAACATATTTTAGTTCATTGACTACATTAAGAATTGTACAAATAAATCTCAAATATTGTTTAAATATGCATATTAGACATTATTTCATTACGTACAGTATGTGCTAATTTGCATACATTCCCTTAACACAAAAATAAGAGCATTGAATGAAGTAGAGTTTAAAAATCTATAACAACAGATCAAAAATATGATTTGGGGTTATTCTTTACATTAAACTTTATAAAAAAGCCCCCAAAAAAGCCCAAAATGGCTTTATGAAAAATGTGTTTTTGCTTCTCACCTTGGCTTGTAATGCCATATTGACAGTGTCACATTCTGAAGCACATTGGTCAGGATCTGTTGTATGCCAAAGCCTGGAGACAGCAGTGCACAGAGCACTAATAATGACCTGGACTACTACATCCCTCTGGCGAGAGGCTCGACACTCAGTTGCACAACCAATACGTCAACCATCGATTCTTAGAGCTTTCCACTTAAGTGCCGCATCGATTGCCTGTTGCAGACAGAAGGAGCTTTGTGCGAGGGTAAAGGAAGTCTTTGTGATGCTCCTGTACTGCACATCCATCTTTAAGACCATCAGATGAATGCAATTTAATATCCTACAAATTTTTTAAAAGGGATTGTGTAAAAGTGCTTGGGTTAGATGCGAGGGTCAGATAGCAGGAGTTCAGACAATGCATTTTCTATACAGCAAGACAGAAATTACTGTAACTGCCCAAAACAATGCTTTCCGTTAAAAAGGAGTGAAACGATCTGCTTGACCCTATTGACATTTTTCACAGTCTGCACTATCCTACTGTACTGCATTGATTTTGCTTTGTGGGCATTTGTGTAAATAAAGCCATGCCCACACTCTGATTTCAGCCATGATTTGGTCATATGAGACAAATTTGGGAAATCTTAAAAGTTTGCTGTAATCCTATAGGCTAAAATCTGTGGTCTTGATCATTGTTTTGACGTGTTTACAGACAACCGATTAATGGCTGTTGCCTTCAATGAAGTTTGGCAGCATCAGAAGATTTCAGACACTTTCCTGCAGCGTTAATTCAGTTACAAAGATTGTCAACAAAGATTCAATAGGAGCACTGAATCAGCACAATTTCAAACCAGCTTGGTGAAGTGTTTAAACAGCTTTTTTTCTGGGTTGTATTATTTATGTTTTGAGCAAAATTAGCTCTATATATTGTTTATGTTTGCAGTGCTGTATTATTTCAGAATGTGGGTTACTGAATGTGTCATGCATGATAGTCTCTTGGGGCATCTTGGTTGTTAGGCCACAATCGTTTAGGATTATTTATTTTTTTAATCACAGTGTGAGCCAGGCTTAACTGAGCTGGGTTTTATTGGATTTTATTAAACAATTTGGACTTATTATAAATAAAATCTGGGGGGGAAAAAAGTATTGAACATGGAAAACATATTTCTAAAAGTGCCGTTGACCAGAAATTTTACTTGGATGTTGGTAACAACTAAAGAAATCCATATATGCAACCTGTTGACATGGAATTGAACCAGATTTTAGTAGAAATCAAAACAATACAAACATAAAAAAAATTAATAAAATCTGAAAGTTATGTGTAATAATGAAATGACATTATGAGAAAGTACTGAACTAATATAATGTATTTAAGATTTATATAAAAGGCTTTTTTTGGTTATGGCGACATCACTTCATCTCATCACTTTTACACTTCAATTGAGTGTAAAAATCTCGATGGTTCTGTGGGTCTCGTCTATCAAATCTGATCTTTATTTAGAATTCTACTGCTTGATTTTCTTTCTCTGAAATAATTTAAGAGTCTCCCTGGCTGTTTTTTGGAACATTGTCTTGCTGAAATCTCCAACCCGGTTTCATCTTCATCATCCTGGTAATGTAGATGTTGGGCTGAAGCAGCTGATATTAATTAACAATGACAAAGGGCAGAGGGTTGCTGAATTTCTACAGCTCCCTTTCTTCATGTGTTCAATACTTTTCCGTCATTTTTTTTGCGACATTTCATTTTATTACGCTTAACTGAATTTGTAAACTAATTAGATTTGTTTTTGTTTTGTTTTTTGCATACTGTATATGGTTTTCTTAGATTGTTACAAACATCCGGGTAAAATTTCAAGTCAACGGCACCTTTAGAAATATGTTTTCTGAAAAAAACTTGTATATATTAATATAATTTAATTTGTTGAACTACAGCTGCCAATCTTTGTTTTTTTTTTCCATACTAAAGGGTATCTACGGTGTCTTATGAAGTCTTAAATGTCTTAAATTTCAAAAAACTAATTTTAGGTCTTAAAAAAGTCTTAAATCCACTGAAATATTGTGTTGTAGGTCTTAAATCATTTTAAATGAGTCTTAATTTTCCTTTGTCCATGCAAAGCTATACCCAATTGGGCTAACACCATCACTAACAATATACTGTATTTTAATAAAAGTTTTAAGAAATGCTTATTTATTAACTCTAATTACTTATTAATATGGTTTAATTATCTTCCTTACAACAACATTTGTTTTTTTTTTTTTTATGTTTTTAAGGTTATAACTTGGTCATTAAAAAAATCTGTAGTGTTAAGTCTGAAATTTCAGTCATTTTAGTCTTAAAATGACCATTAAATTGGACTTGATAAATCCTGTAGAAACCCTGTACTATGTGTACACTATTGATTAGTGGCTTTCATGAAGTAAACAAGCCTATTGTTTTTTTCTCTGTGCACATGTACACCTGCTGCTATTTCTAACCGATCTCTCTTTGTTTGTCTTGTGTTTTTTAGTGGCCATGTACAGAGAGCCTTCTCTGCACGACCTGACCGAATTCTCTCGTTCTGGTAGCGGCACGCCAACCAAGAGCCGCAGTGCCTCCGCTGTGCTGAACGGGGGCAAAGCTGTGAGTCAGAACGAGTCAACGTAGCCCGGTTTACCCGGCCCGGCCCGCTACCTTACGCCTTCACCAAAACCTCTGAATGCTTGTGACTTCACACAGACTTCTCTCCAAAAAGCTCTCAGCGGTTCAGGACGACACCAAACATAGCATAACCACACACTAGTCTAACATCCAATTGGACTTCTTTCTAATTAGCTGGTTTGAATTTTTTTTTTGTGGGTGGAGGGGGTGTTAGGGGGGGTACATTTAGCTTGTTTTCCTTATTGATCACCACTACGATAGCCTTTTCTATGTGAAACACAAAAGTTGTAGCCTTTCATATCCAACGGGACGTTTGGTTTCAGTCCCTCTCAGCATATGTTCATATACTAGCATCGCAGGTCCTGATCAAGTAATGCGTTTGTTACGAGTTCAGGGCTCTGCCTTGACTGTGGAGCGATAGAGAAGCACCCGTCCCGGTCTTTAGAGGGGGGCTCTGTCATTATGTGCACTCGCCCAGAGGGCTTCGACTCTCTAGCAAGGGAATATAAAGCCACACGTACAGAGAAGCTGAGACTCTCGGAAAGCGAGAGGTCGTGGCTTGCTAATTGTTTGAATTAGCTGTGAGCTTTTCTTACTTTCTCTTCCTCTTGTTCTTCCCCCAGTATTAGTGTTTTTTTTTTTAGCGTCTGGAGATCCAGCGCACCAAAGACAGAACTGTGAGAGTTTCTCCTCCAGCCGTCAGACCATATAATAATGCATGACAGGAACAGATTTTCTTTCTTTTTTCGGATTAGTGAGAGGTTTCAGTATTCGAGGAGATGGATGTGTGGTTCATGAGGGCTGTTCGATGTCTCCAATTCTTCCTTCTGTCTCTTTTTCGTGTCCTTTTCTATGTTCCTTTAGTCTGCGTGCTTGTGTTTTTTGGCCTTTCCTGCCCATGTCAACTCTCCTTTGGTCGCCGTTTTCGGTGATTTTTTCGAGACATGGCGGGACTCCCCACCTGGACTCTGTTTTGTGTATAATTAACTTGCGGTGGTGACGATTTTCTATATAAAATGAGCAAACAAAAAATGATACTGTGGATCTTAAGTTGGTTGCATTTTTTTAGGGTATGTCTAATTTGTAAAAGTGAACAAAAAAAGAAACAAATCTTGTACAGGGCATGTACAAATCAGGTTGTGTACAATTAGGAGCCTTTTTGTGGGCTGCGGTACGGTATATATTCAACATAACGTCATACATGCTACAAGGGGGTTCTTCTCTCTCTCCTGTTTTTGGTTCTGGGTTTCTTTCTTTTAGATGAACATACAGTATCTGTTGCATGGGAGACTGCAGGGAGGCGAGGAGTAGAGCTGCATGACGTAGGCTATGTGTATTAACTCCTCCCTGGATCATATGTTCCAAACTACCAGGATAACAACATGTATGTACTCACTGGCACTCTGCCACGTACCTTCAAGTTGTTTCTGATTTGTCGTGTACATACAATGCACTGAATAAAATGTTTATATTAAGATATACTTTTAAAATGTGTCTTTGTGCTTTGTTTGTTCACTTTGATCGCTTTAAATCTAGAGTTTAAGGGATAGAGCGGATCTTAAATGTGAAATAGGATAGACCTTAGTGCCTACTATCAAATTATAAAGTCCATCATTTTGTAATGTGTTAAAAGTAAAAAAACAAACAAACAAACAAACAAACAAAAAAAAAAAACTGGTTAATTTTTTTTTTTTTTTTTTGGCATTGGTATGAGCCAAACATCTATGCATAAATTCTAAATAATTGTGAAAATAATGGAAAGTTCATCCAAAAATAGAAACATGCTCACTCTTTTCTCATCCTCAAGAGTTGAGTGAAGTTTCTTTTCTTGTTGAACACAAAAGAAGATGCTTAGAAAAATGTTAGTAACTACCCAGCAGCCACAGGATGTCAAAATGAAATCAGATTGACGTTGTACTCCAACATTGTGGGGACGTTGCATTTTGTTTGGAAATAAAAATCAGGCTGAAATCAGGCCGACATCAATGTCCAAAGTCGGACAGACATGACATTTTGGTTACTTTCCAACGCAAAATTGGATTTTAATCACCTTCCAACAACCTAAAGTCAACAAAAATCAATGTCATTTCAGGTCGTTATTGGATGTCAAAATAATTAATCTTAGAGGCTGGAGACCTAAATCTAAACCAAAAATAATGTCTTAATTATTAATAATGACATTGTGTGTCTGCTGGATAGTAAACAACGACACCCACAGTATAAGAAAAACAATTAATTTTTATCTAAGATTATTTTTATGTTTACCAGAAAAAAGAAACAAACAAGTTTGTGAAAAGGGTGAGTAGATGATGAGAGTTTTTATTTTGGATAGACTAGCCATTTTTTAAGCATCATACAAATAGTTCAGCCTGATCTGACAAAGAAACCACTATTTTATGCATTGTCAGAAAGTTTTTTTTAATTCATTTGAAAATACTTTATTAATTTTTAAAAGGAGGTGTGTCCTAAAAGCCCACCCCAAGGCCTGTCATTGGGGGATGAGCAAATCATACTAAAATGTACCAAACATCCAAATTTATACAAATAAGCCACTAAATCCAAAAGTTACACATTTTATTTGATATTGTGTATAGTTTTGTGTCTCATATTGTTAAAAATGTCACAATGAGCATTTTATTTCAGCCTGAAGAAAAACAATATCATGTCTCCACCTTGGAACTTAAAGGTTTTGACTGTATCCTGAGCTGTTGAGAAGAAAAAGTGTTTCTTATAGCAAAAACTGACTAAAGCAATCACTTTCCTACACAAAAATTGACTGAGACTCCAAATGTATTTGTTTCCTTTGCATTAAAGATTTCTTATTAATATAACATACAATACCATACGAAATGCATACAAATTCTTTACAGTTTTGAAAATTAAAAAAAAATTTGGAAAACTGTACAAATGCATAAAGATAATACTACAAAACACATGTTCATAGTTTAAGTGGAGGAATAAAATTCTCACATCTATCAACATCCTTATGTTCGCCATTCATTTTGGCTAAAAAAATTTTATATGGCACATTCTTAAAGATAAAATCCATACATAATTTAAGTGTGGGGCATTAAGTGTTAAGATACAGTTGAAGTCAGAATTATTAGCTCCCTTTGAATTTTCTTTTCTTTTTTTAACTATTTCCCAAATGATGTTTAACAGAGCTAGGAAATTTTCATAGTGTCTTATAATATTTTTTTCTTCTGGAGAAAGTCTTTTTTGTTTTATTTCAGCTAAAATAAAAGCAGTAAATAATAATAATAATAAAAAAACATTTTAAGGTTAAAATTAATAGCCCATTTAAGCTATTTTATTTCCGATAGTCTACAGAACAAACCATCATTATACAATATCTTGCCTAATTACCCTAACCTGCATTGTTAACCTAATTAAACTAGTTAAGCCTTTAAATGTCACATTAAGCTGTATAGAAGTGTGTAGAAATATATTTAGTCAAATATTATTTACTGTCATCATGGCAAAGATAAAATAAATCAGTTATTAGAAATGAGTTAAAACTAATATGATTAGAAATGTGCTGAAGAAATCTTCTTTCTGTTAAACAGAAATTGAAGAAAAAAAATAAAAAGGGGGCTTATTCCAAGTATCTATATGATTATTAATGTCTCTTTGCCAAATCAATCTGAATTTTTCACAGTTATTAATCATCAATCGTTGAACTAAATTTGTAAAATGTAGATACTTTTTGAAGATGTTTTAGTACTGTAATTCATATGATTCTACATCAATCATTCCTCAAAAAATGTGTCAGTATCTTTCAGCAGTCTTGTGATGTCACAGATATATCAAATTTTATATGCATATATGCCGTCAATACAGCTTAAGTATGTGAAACACAATAAACTATCACTGGAACTATGTAGGCTTGTTCTTTTCCACCATAAAATAATTAAATAAATAAATAATGCTTTGCCTGCTGTAATTGTATTATCATTGTACTCCGGCCAACAGATCTTGTCTGTTTCTTTGCCAATTCAGTTTGTTCTAATGGCCTCTTAGATCTTATTTTAATCTGTTTACTCTAGAAATTGGGATATTAAATAGTCATATTGCGCCAGTGAAATCGAATACTGAAGTGACAGGGCAATACAAATGAAAAAATATATGTAGGAATTAAATTTTATCGCCACTGCTGTATTTGCTGGAACACTTTTTGCACTAAACAAAAATAAAACAGCACTCAACAGAGAACTGTGGTGTAAGACACTGACAAACAGCCCAACACTGGGGAATGAATGTTGTTGGTTTTTTTTTTTTTTGTGTGTGTTGGCGTGTAGTTGAGCCGGAGATACAGCCAACTATATCCACTTTCTCTGGACAAAGATGAATCGCCTCTAAAAAAATACTGCTCTTTAATTGCCTGCAGAGTTAAGAGTCCTGCATTTCTTCTACCTTGTGGAGCAATTTCGTGTAATGAATCAATGTGATGGTCGACAGCTTTGTGGCCAAGACTGAGATCCCTAGAATATAGTGTATAAATATAGTTTGAACACAGAGATCAAATATTGGAAACTTATATTATAGAGCACAAAACTAAATGCATGCAGTTTGCAGTATTGATCCTTTTCAATATTATGCTGTATATTACAATGTCAGTATTGGCTACACTGCTGTCTGGAAGTTTAGGATTTATTGTTTTAGGATTTTGATTTTTTTTTTTTAAAGAAAATCAGCTCACCGCAACTATTTTACAGCAGATATGTGAAATATTGTTACAAAATAAAAAAACTTTTCTGTTTTAATATACTTAATGTATTTTATTCCTTTGAATAAATCTGTATTTTCATCACCATTACTCGTAGACACAAGTCTAACATAAGCCTTTAGAAATCATTGTAATTTACTAATGTGGCTCTCAATGTTCTTCTTCAAACAGTTGCACTGCTTAATTACCATTATTGAGACACCATGATAATCATTTTGTTCAACTTGTTTAGCTTTCCCTTAATCTAATGCACTGTGGTCATTAGCAAATCTCAAAATGAAAGTGACTTTTTTTTTGTTTGTTTCATTCTTTAAAGGTGCAGTAGGCGATTGTCTTCAGAATTGTTTTTTTGTTTTGCTGGTTGAAGTCTCTTCACATTCCAATAATAATGATTAAAGTAAATGATCTAAATGTATTTATATGTATTTTAATATTCTGGGTAAGGGATAAGACTGAAAAATGTTCATTCAATTAAAATTTGTCTGGCTGATAATTCCCATAATTCTGATAATAGACCAAACTGTCTACCAACAACTTTAGATTTGTACATCTGTAGCCATTCATGCAGATCGGCTGTTTGCATGTGCACTTGTGTACATGATCTGCACACAAGTGAGAGAGAGAGAGTGACCAGTAAACACAAATGCTGAATCAAAACTTTTTTTAAATTCTTAGTCAATATTGGAGTTACTTTTTCAAGCTGGAGAAAGGATGACACCATGGCTGAAGTATTTCTTTTAGACAAGTAATCTTAAGTTTTTAAGTCAAGCAAAGCTTATGTAGAGTTTGTTGTATTATGAATGGGTTACATGCACGGAAGTGTTGTTCAGTCACTGGAATCTTCCTGCGAAAGATCGATGTGACTATTTTCAGTTTCATAAGGTTTCACCAATAATGTCGATTTTTATTTAGTTTAACAACAAAACATCTGTAAATAGCGCTATTCTGCCTTGCCTGCTTTACTGAGCTGAAGTTGGTTTTATATTCACATGATTCATTTTTGAACAATGACAACCTGTGATGCGCTCCCTATATTGTTTTCCATGCTACTCTGAATATGCGCTTTGGAAATAGCATGTAAATATGGCTTAGTAATATGTGTAATTCCTGCACCCCGCCGGTCAAGCACTAAGCATAAAGAAGTCACTTTCGAATAAAGTTGGTGAGAGAGGACAGCGATTCTTGCATGCATGAAATATTGCACATAATGACAAGTTTTGCTTGCTGCACAACTGAAAACGTGCTACATATAATATAGTTTTTCATTGGAAATTGTAGTATTAAAAAGCACTATAAAGTTTTCTAACTGGCGAATGAAGCGAGTTGTTTACTAGTGCAAGTTCATGATATTAGGAGGTGTGGCTTTGGATGGCAGGGGTGGGACTGTGTTTCAAAGATATGCTAACCAGTTAGCATTTTGGCAGATCACCTACTGCATCTTTAATTACTAATGATGTTTGTAAAGGTTTTTTTGTTTGTTTGTTTAAAAAAAAAAAAAAAAGTTGGTCCTGTTCAGAATGAACAAACTATTGGTCTAATATTTTTTTTAATTCTTTCTCAAGCCCTCAATATAATAATCATTCTTGACCCTCTAACTGCACTTTTTGGTTATCTTTCAACCCCAACTACACGAACATCTACACGCTGCATCATTGCCTGTACCACCTTGCTCGCCATGCGCGCAATTCTGCTCAAATGGAAACATGTTCCCTCCATCAGCAGAACACTGGATTAGAGAGGTTATATCTTGAGAAACTGAGACAT